AGCAGCTGAGCCCTCCTGAGGCAGTGGGTCTCGTGCATCAGATGCAGTTCTGTGTGTCTCTGGGACCCTGCCATATTCGTCAATCATCGACTTCCCAGCAAATGGGAAGAAACTGAAAGGAGGGACTGGGGCCAAAGGCTTGGGGAAAGCATTCCTTCCTTCTCTGTTCAAGTCTCAGCTTTTGAGCATGGCAGTGGGTGCTCGTCTGCCGGGGCCACTGGAGGCTTCCCCTTTTGTCTGGCCACACTTTTTTTCCTTATAATCATTTGAACCATTGGCTTTGTTCTAGTGAGACCCCCCTTTGAGTGACCTCTGGGTTTGTAAGGAGATCCATCCTCCTCTTTATCTTTCTGGTCTGCCTGTCTTTGAGTCTCTGGATCTCGACTGATGAAAACTGTGGTGCCCACCTTAATCAGCTCACTGTCACACTTCTCAGTAAGTCCTCTAGGATTGTAATTTTTGGCAAATGGCTCTCTGAGCCTGTCCCACGAAGGCTGCACTGATCACCTGTTGCTTGCACCTGTGCATTTCTTTACTGACAAACTTGCACTGTGGCTGCAATGTTTGTATGGTGCCCCTCCTCCCCCGGGGAACCTCTGGGCAGGGAGAGGGCTGGCAGCGGCGGTGGCCTGGACACTTAGCTCTGAGTCAGTTGGGCACATCTCTTTCGATTATTGCTGCCAGTTTCATAGGGCAGAGGGGCCTTAGGCAGATGTGGGGCCCATTTCAGGGCTATGAGGGTGCGAGAGGGAGATGCTGGAGCAGCGGGAGGCCTAGCTGGGCTCTGTCTGCAGATGCACTTGGCTTAGGCCAGGGCTCAGGGCTGGCTCCGATCCCTTCTAACTCTTGGGCACAGTGTGTTTTATTATCTTTCCCCCCCTTTTCTTTTAGACTTCCTATGAGGGCTTCTTGACATCTCTTTACCTTTAGACCTTCTTCTTGGTTGGGCCCCATCCTAGGTCTGGAGAATGGGTTGCACCAGATCAGTCCTGGCCCAGGGTTTCTCCGTGTAGGAGGGAGCATGATTTTTCCAGCTTATGAGCTCTGGGGTGGAGAAAGGCTGGCACACAAAACGGCCTTGTCTCCCTCAGGTGTTTCCCTCTGGACAACATGGGCAGGTCCTTTAGTCCCTTGCAGGGGCATCTGGAGAGCACTCATATGGGCTGTGGCTCTGCTTTGGGGACACATCTCCCATCTTAATCTTGGGAGGTGAAGAGTCTTTGGTCCTAGGAAGCCTTTGGCTCTGAGGACATCACAGAGGAAGGAATGGCCAGTATTGGGAGCCATCATTTGTTGCCTCTGAGGACGAGGGGGCTAGGGGACAGTCTGCTGTCCCGGTGGTCTTGGCAAAGTTGGGTAGAGTGGCACATAAGGTCCTGGGTCCTCTTCTGGCTCACGGGGAAAACTGTTTCCCTTCCTGTCTTTCCTAGTCAGGTTTTCTGTTTAGCTGCTTTCCGCTGGGTCTTAGAGACCATTGTGCTCCTGACTAACATCTTCTTGGACTGTCCATCTAGACAGGCTCTCAACCAAGGGGACTGTTTCTGTACTATCTCTTGCCAGCAATCCATATAAAAGAATTGGTTCAGAGAAAGTTCCAACAACAATCAAAAGGCCTCAGCAATGACTCATCTAAAGATCCTTCTGGTGGCCAGCCCACGTCTTGGGTGAGCCACTCTAATTCACAGAGTATGCCACCTCTGTGGAGTGAGTCTCACCCACAGTCATCAGGAAAACCTTCCTAAAGGTCTCTAACACACATTTCAGAAGGCTCAGTTTCCTTAGTGTGCCTCCCGTGTTCCACCCTGCATTGGTGTCGCACACTTAGAACAAAACACACTTAGGACAAGACTCGCTTTGTCCATCTCCAGCCGCTCCCCTCGTGGGGACTTAGGGCCCTCTTGGCCTTGCAGGTCGGTATCAACCCCGACCTGGAGCTTTCACCTGGACGTTGGTTGGTGAAATTCCGCCATAGACTGTCTGAGGGGCCACGGAACCTCGGATCAGGACTCTGCACTCGCTTCGTCCCTCAGGTTGGGTCGGAGCCCTTCCCTTTGTCCGTCTCATTCACACACTTTCCCACAGACATGGCCAGGACAGAATTTCTATACCGCCCAGATTCCAACAATTCCAAACCAAACAGAAAAGGGAGTCACGGTGTCCCCTCTGCTCGCTGACCCCAAACAGAGACTACTCGGGCGACTCCCTGGGTCCCTTTCAGCTCAAACCACTTTGGAGGGCACTCAGGACCCAACAGAGGGCAATCAAGCCTCTCTTCCACCCGCTTAGGCCTGAAGGGGAAGTCAGGTGGGCTGCAAACCAAATGGACCCGGGTCCTACCTGTTCAGCTGGGAGGTGCTCAAAACCCTAATTCTGGTTCCTGCTGTGCTCCAGGGTGGCAGCCCCAGGGCGCTTGGTGAGTCGATCAGTCTTCAGGCCAAGAGTGGCCTGGGCATGCCAAGGGGACCGCTGTCCCCCATCACCCCAGGGAAGCCAGTCCCCGGAGACAAGAGAGGCAGAACAGCCTTCCTTACCTGCTCTGTCCCATCTGGGTCGCCAAAAATGTTGTAGGGACAAATGAGGCAAGGCACCAAAGACAGCAGGAAACAGTTTTATTTGGCTGCAGCCAGGTTCAGAGGGCACAGCTTTTGCATTAATCAATTAATCCCCTGAACCCCGAGTTCAGGGAGTTTCGAGTTTCATACCCAGCATGTAAGGGGAGGGGCTCAGAAGTTCCCAGTCTGCAGAAGTTCACATGAAAGCAGCTTTTTCTCTCACTGTTCTGGGCAAGTTAACTCTTCAAGGACAACACCTGAGAAGGGGGGAGCTTCTTCTCCCCTCTCCTTCCTCCCCCTGCCAACTGTTACCATGGGCCCATTTGTAACTTATCTTAAAAATATAGACATCTCTGTGAAGCCCAGCTCAAGGCCAGAGGCCTTGTTTGCACATTTCTTCAAAGTACTATACTAGTAAGGGGTGTCCAGCACCTGGAGGGCTGGTATCTTCTTGGCCAGTGGCCAAGTAAACAGGGCAACTCGAAAATAGGAAGTTTATCTACATTGAACTCTTTTGCAGAGACTCTTTTGCTGATAGTCCTAAAATCAGCCATAATGAAGCGGGCTTTTCTGTGGAGAAAGGGGGAGCCACTTCAGGATCACAGGCGTGCACCACCCCACCTGATGGAGGATTCCAGATTTGAACCTGACTTCCAGGACCTTAGGAAGACACACACGAAGATAGGAGAAAACCACACACCTTATTTGATGGTTTATCAATTCGTTGGTAATAGTTAAATATTTAACTATACATATCTCAACAACAAAAAATAAATCTATTTCAAAAATGGACATAGGACTTGAATAGAAATTCCTCCGATGATTTGCAAGTGGCCATAGGCACATAGAAAAACGCTCAGTAGTGTCATCAAAATGCAGATCAAACCAGGTGAGCCCCGACCCTGCCCACGTACCAGCTGCCAGCTGCGGAGGTCCCCAGGGCTCTCCCTCCAGCATCAGTGTAACCTACAGCGATGGGTGTCAGGGCGACAGCCACACACGGGAGTCAGGGGACAGGGAGTCAGGGGACAGTCACTCCACGCTCCTGTGCTTCCTCCTCCTCGCAGCTCCACTGGCCATGTGCTCTGTCCTCGGTGCTCAGTGTTCAGTCCCCATTCACCTTTGCCCCCTGGGATCTTCTCTAGCTCAGAGGTGTGGCAGCATTGAGGTGGTAGGCTCTTTAAGAGGCGGGGCCTCGTGCAAGGAAATTTTGTCCCAGCTCCAAAAGAATATTTTTGAGCCCTATGAAGTGGTTCACACCTGTGATCCCAGCGACTAGGAAGGCTGAGGCAGGAGGATCACAAGTCCAAGACCAGCCTCCACAATCTAGCAAGATCCTGTCTCAAAATAAAAAATAAAGAGTGTAGCTTGGTGGTAGAGCACTTGCCTAGTAGGCATGAAGTCCTGGGCTCGATCCCCAGTACTGGGGGGAAAAAAGTACTTTTGCAACTAGACAAGTTGATTCTGAAGTTTAAAAGAAAAAACAATGTGAAAAGATCCAGAAACAAATCTGAAAAAAAAAAATAAAGTAAGCAAGAGGAAACCAGCCCTTCCGTACATGCAAATGGATCATAGGGATCTGTTTTCCAAGCAGCTGGGGTGCTCCTTAAGAGACAGGCAGCTGGTGAAGGAGGGCAGGTAGGGAGCCAGAAATACACGAGGGATTGTATATAGCAGTGGAATTTCATGCCAGTGGGAAATATGGACTTTTCCCCACAGGAGACAGCTGAACAGCCATCTGCAGAGCTGCACAGTTAGATCCCTATTAAAATACCAAAATAGAATCTAGGTAGATTGGAGATCTGAAGGTCCAAAAATGTCACTTTCACAGAAGGGAAAAACGGAGAATTTATAATCTTAGAACTAAAGTCTTGCTACATGTGACACAAACCTCTGAGGCAGGTGGGAAAGATGGACACATTTCATCACACCAAGCTTCAAATCACCTGCAAGGCTGGGGAGCCCTCAGAGAATCCCACCGTGGACAGGAACCCCCCAGACAACACTGGGGCACAGAGAGGGGTCAGTTTCCTTCGTTTGCCAAACTCTCACCCTGCAGCTAAAAATAAATAAATAAATAAATAAAGCCACAGTGTGAAAGATACGGACAGAAAGCTCACAGAAAAAGAAACAAATATTGGAATTATAAAACAAGCTGCAGCCTGTTAGATTGCAAAGACGAGAACCCCACTAATATGAAACTGGGGGTGTAGTTTGGGGGGAGGGCTTGCCTAGCTGCCCAGCACAGAAAATAAACAAATGAATACCCAAATAAATACATAATAAAAGCAATGGCCAGGGCTGGGGATGTGGCTCAAGCGGTAGCGCGCTCGCCTGGCATGCGTGCGGCCAGAGTTCAATCCTCAGCACCACATACAAAGAAAGATGTTGTGTCTGCCGAAAACTGAAAAATAAATATTAAAAAAAAAAAAAAGCAGTGGCCAAAGAGACACAGGCATCCTCCTCTTTCTCCCAGTAAAGGCACAGTGCCCACCACCTTCCAGAAGGACAGTTTAGGGAGACGGGCTCTGTGCCTTGCTTGGATTCAAGGTCCGACTCTTGCCACCTATGAGCTGTGTGACCTCTAGCCTGTGTATTACTCCTGTTGTGCCTTGTCTGCAAAATGGTGATAATAACAGGATCTCCCTCAAATTCTTTATGTGGGGATTAAACAAATTAATACTATAAGGTTCCGGGTCCTGCATGAAACAAGGATTGTAGAAATGGCAAGGGAGTGAATTTGGGTGCATTGGTGGCCAAAAGGTGTTTATTAAGCACCTGCTGTACACAGGACCTTGTTTGGGTTTTGCTTTGTTTGCAGAGCTGGGGATTGAAATGTGCCAAGCAGGAGCTCCATCCCCGAGCCACACCTCCAGCCCAGGATCTGTTCTAGGACCTGCAGACACAGCCTCAACCGGACAGCCTCCCAGCCTGGCTCAGGTCCCCTGCGGTCACTCCTGGAGTTCCCAGCATTCCACTTTACTGGTATTTACCTCTGTCAGGCTCACTGATGTGTCCCCAGGGTTCACAGGGCTCAGAACATAGCTGTAGCTAAAAAAAAAAAAAAAAAAGATATATATTTCTATATCAATATCTATCTAATCTATTATCTATTTGCTGTGTGAGGGAATTAATTGCTCTTCCAGAAATTGACACCCTCCAACTCCAGTCTCTTGCCTGACTGGCAAACTCCTGTCCTACCCTGACCCTCAGAAACCTCACCAACCTCCCCTCCCTGTCCAGCTCCCCAGAGAAAAGTCCAAATTCCCCACCACAGGATACAAGGCCCTGCAAGATCTGGCCATTGGGCTGGGCCTGGGGCTCACGGGTAGAGCGCTGGCCTAGCATGTGGGAGGCCCTGGGTTCAATCCTCAGCACCACATAAAAATAAATAAATAAAGGTATTGTGTCAACTACAGCTAAAAAAATAAATAAATATTAAAAAAAATATATCTAGCTGTCACTTCCCTTCTCCTGCCACCTGCTCTTCTGACTGTCTCCTCAGCTCTCTCCTGTTCCCTCAGGGTCTCCTGGCTGTTCCTCAGACCACCACCCCCAGCAGTCTTCAGCCACAGGGCCTTTGCACTGGCTATTCCTTTGCTTGGAATACTGCTCCTTTACATAGTGTTTGCTCTGCTGCCTGGGGTCGAGCTTTGACCTTCGCCCCTGGAGCCACTCTGGCTGAATTGCCTCCCTGGGAAGTTGCATCAAGGAACCTTTACTTGGTGCACTGTAAAAAATTCAAAATCTCTCCCTGCCCTCCACCCCTGGCTTTCCTGCTCTCCTTCTCCTCAAGACCACTCATATAGTTGGACTCCATGCCTTGGGTTTTACAGCCACGGACTCAACCAACTGCAAACAGAAAGTATGTGAAAGAATATTTCATCTGCAGTGAACTTGTCTAGATCTTTTTCTTATTATTTCTAAACAATACAGGATAACAACTTTGTGTGTGTGTGTGTGTGTGTTTGTGTGTGTACGCATGTGGGTTGCTGTGGATGGGGCCCAGAGTCTCATACATGCTAGATAAGTGCCCTACCACAGATCGGAGGATCCCTAACCCTTTTTATTTTTTATTTTGGGACAGGATCTCCCTGCCCAGTGTGGTGGTGCACACCTGAGACTCCAGGAGGCTGAGGTAGGAGGATCCCCAGTTTGAAAAAGGCTAAAATATATAAGCAGAAAATTTATACTAAATATTTAAAATTTAAGTATTCACAATCTCACTAGTTGAGTGGCTTTGATAAAATGATCTGACTTCTCTGATCCTCAGTTTTCTGGCTAAAACATACAGAAACTGCTCAATGAGTATTCACTGAAGAAATAAATGATTGAATCATTAAGTCAATAATTAACTAATGAATTGTAAAAAGTAAATGACTTAGTACACCTAGCTTAAAATACTGTCTGGCACATAGTGTGCCTGTGTAAGGAGAGCAGTGCGAACTACTTTTAAAATGGTATTTTTTTATGGTCTGGGGATGTGGCTAAAGCGGTAGCTCGCTCGCCTGGCATGCGCGGGGCGCTGGGTTCGATCCTCAGCACCACATACAAATAAAATAAAGATGTTGTGTCCACTGAAAACTAACTAAATAAATAAACATTTTAAAAATTCTCTCTCTCTCTCTCTCTTAAAAAAAATGGTATTTTTGTGGCTAGATCTGGAAAATATCATGCTAAGTGAAATACGCCATTCCCCCCACATCAAAGGCAGAGTGTGTTCCCTGATATGTGGGTGCTCATCTACAACAAACTCTAGGGAAGACAGCCACTTTGGATGGGGCAGAGGGGAGTGAAGGTGGGGGAGTGAGGGGGCAGTAAGATGAGTCAGGCGACATTTCCCTAGGTGCATACAGGGTCAATGGTGTGACTCTGCATTGTGTACAACCCCAAGAATGAGAAGTCACACGCGATTCATGTATGATGTGTCAAAGTGCATTCCACTGCCGTGGGTAACTCATTAGAACAAGAAAGAAAAAGTGGTATTTAGATGTGGCTCGGTAGATAGAGTGCTCACGCCAGCGTGCTTGAGGCACTGGGTTCAGTCCCCAGCACCGGAAAGAAAGAAAAAGAGAGAGAGAGAGAGAGAGAGAGAGAGAGAGAGAGAGAGAGAGAGAGA